TTACAAATTTAATATTTTTTTTCCCATTTTGATTATAATAATAATAATAATAATCAATATTTTTTTTCTTAAAAATACGTAACCCATAAAATACCTGATTTAGAGATTATATAGATTTCTATAACATATTAACATCCTTTCGGATTACCCTACCCAATGCATGGGATGGGGTTTTACATACTTTTACATACGGATTTTTTAATATAAATATAAAAAGGGGATTACATACATACATACATTTCATTTAAATAAGATTTAAAAGGGGTGTATGTATGTATCATTTTGCAGTAATAAAAATGTGATAATAAATTGTGATGATGTGATATACATATATATGTATATCGTGATATATTTCTTTAAGTACATAGCGTTTTAGTAATAGCCCAAAAAGTCTGCCAATCACAAATAAGTTTTTTTATATCACTCCTGCTGTTTCTCCCTTTACTTCTCCCTGCTTAGAATTTATAAATACCCGGGTATGTTTCTAGATATAGAATATAATATTGAATATACCCCTATTAAACTTTCTATACAAGGTAAATAAAAGAATTACCTATATATACACATATAAACACATAAAACACTTTTAAAAACATTTATAAACATATAAACATATAAACATATAAGCGTATAAACATATAAACGTATATACATATATACACATACACATATATACGTATATACATTTTTATAAATTTTAATTTATTATATAAGCTTCAAGTTTTTTTTTTAAAAAAACAAATAATTATAATTATAATTATTATAGCAATATTGTCTGAATATCCAAATTATTAAAATTATTAAAAATTATTAAAAATTATTAAAATTACTAAAATTTTTTAAAATTGTTAAAATTGTTAAAAATCAATTTTCTAAACTTCATATTATATTATTTTAATATTATCATATTATATTTTATTTTAATATTGTCATATTATATTATTTTAATATTGTTATATTATATTATTTTAATATTATTTTAATATTATCATATTATATTATTTTAATATTTATATATTATAAATTCATATCCATTCGAAGATAATTTTTTAAAAAAAATATATAAATTCTTTTTTTCTAAAAAAAGAATGGCCTTGTTTCAAAGTTAAAACAATAAAGCAACACCTATATTTTTATATAAAACAAAAATTTAAAAATTTAAAAATTTAAAAATTTAGTACCTATTAAACCATTATTTCAAATATTTTTTTAAAATAATAAAAAATGACAAATTATTAAAATTTATCATATTTACATATTTAATAATCTGAATAAATCATATAAACACATATATATTTATAATATAAAGATTTTTTAAATAACTTATCTTTAAAATATATATATATAATTAGCTAGTATAAAAAAACTTTTTTTTTACAATTTTAAAATCATAATAATTTAATACATATATAATTAGTATAAAATTTTATATATTAGTATTTTTTTTTTTTTTAGAAAAAAAAAATAACTTATTCTACAATCATAATAATTTAATATAAAGAAATTTTTTTTTTTATAATTTAACTATAAATTTATTTAAGTTGAAAATTTTTTTTTATATAAATAACATTTAAAATAATTTTTTTAAAAAAAAAATCTCAAAAAATATTAAGAATTTAACTCCTATATTAATTATATATAAAAGTATTAAATTATTTATTTAGTATGGACTTATTTTATAAAAAAAATTATTATAATAAAAATACAAAACTAAATTATTTATAATAAATATTAGTAATTAATAAATAACTAAAAATAATAAATATATAATATAATTTTTAAATATTAATTTAAAAAAAAATATTTTTATTTTTACTTATTCTTTTATTATAAATTTAATATCATATAGATTTTTTAAATAGATAAATTTATTATGTTTTATATATATAAAATTTAATAAATAATATTATAAAAATATTAAAAAACTTAAAAATAAATTATATATAATAGATAAAAAAAAATTAAATAAAAATATTGAATAATTTTATTTTATATATTTTATTATTTTTTTTTTTTAATGATTTATATATGCTTTATTGATATGTAGTTTATATACTAATAATACTATACAAACAAATTATCATAAGCTATATCCACAATTTTATACAATGCATATATAGATTTATTAAAATAATAATATTATAGAAAATATACAAAAAAGTACTATAATAATATCTTATATATATAGTCATATTAGTTCAGTAAATATAGCATACTTCAGCATTAATTTAATCAAGAACAAATAAAGATTAAATAGAAAATTTTGTTATAACAATATTTAGTATAATTTTATTACCTATAGAGATATATTAAACTTTTTTAATATTTTTTAGGAATAAGTTTCATTTAGATTAGGAAATAGAAGAAAATGCAGTTCACGAAATAAAGTAATATTTTTTGATTTATTTGGAGGAACTTGAAAAAGGCAATAATTAAATTTTAATTAATAAAAAAATAAAATCAAGTAATAAAAATTAAAACTATTATATATATAAAAATAATAAAATATTTATTATTTTATTAATAAAAAATAGTCTATTGCATATATAAAAATAATAAATATTTATTTTTTATTAATAAAAATATAATAAAAAATAATACTATCGCATATATAAAAAAAATAGAATAATAAAATATTTATTATTTTATTAAAAAAATAATTTATTCATATATAAAAATAATAATAAAATATTTATTATTTTATTAATAAAAATATAATAAAAAAATTCAAGTCTAAAGTCCCATTTGATAAAAAAAAAAGCATTAAAAAATATTATTGCATTTAATTCAAAATTAAAAATAAATATTTAACAAATTAAAATATTTTTAATACATCCATTTTATTTCAAATAATAATTTAATTATATAATTGTTATTATATATTTATATTATTAGTATTAAAAAATATTTATATAATAAATATTAATAATTATATATAAAAAATTGTATTATATATTAACTTTATATTAAAAAAAAAAATTAAATATTAATATAAACTACTTAGTTATTAACAAAGATAAAATTACTTTTAATATTAAAAACTTAGTATAATTTTTAATCTATTAAAATAATTAAAAAATTTAAAAAATAAACTATTTAAATTAATATATATATATACAGAAATACAAAATAAATTAGAGAGTTAATTCTTATTATTCTATTTCTATAATATTAAACAAAAAGTATCTTTAGTATGATATTAAAAAAAAATTTAACAATTTATTTAATAATATATATTATATATCATAAAGTTTTTAATAATATATTAAAAAAAATTATAAATTTATTATTAAAACTGCTTAAAGTTAAAATTATACTTTAATTAATCTTTAATTAATAAAATTATTATAAATTATATTAGAACATAATAGCGAGAAGAATAAGTATAATTATAATTTTATTGTGACACAAAATCAATATCGCTATAAGTGGAACGTGTTGAAAAGAGGTGAATCTTTTACCATTTATAATTAATTTGTAAATATTAGTAAATACTTTATTAATATATTTAATTAATAATAGGGTTTGAAAATTTAACCAGGATAAATAATGGATTGTATATTTGAGGTTAACATTAAATTTCTCAAACAATTCATATAAAATCATGTTAAACCATTTTTTTTTAAAAATAATTAGTTATTAATAAATAAAAAAAAATCAAAATTTACTGATTTTTAATTATTTAATTAGTTTAATTAAAATACTATATACTGTATTTTCAACATCAACTTTTTGATTATCATTATATTATAGGTCTAATAATTCAGAATTTGCTTATATGCTGAACTGTGGTTTAGCAATAAATAATCTCACAATTTTTAATACAGCAGCAAAATTTTGGTCAAATTTAAATCTGCACTGTAAAATGATGAGATAAATTATTTTCTATTGAAGTTAAGTAATGTTTAAAAATACTATTATATTTAATTGATGTTTAAATGTTTGAATAATAATATGCTGTTTGAAAGAGATTGTATAAAAAAGAAATAGTTTTTTTTTTCAATGGAATCTCTCTTTTTCCTTGTCTTTTTTTTTTTATTTTTTTTTATTTTTTTTTTTTTGATTCCCTTGATATAATGTATGTTATTTGCAAAGTTTGATGACATAATTTTAGATCATGTGTATTTATTTTTGAAAAAACTAATATGTATTGAAAAATTTGGCAACCTAAATTACATAAAAAATGATATTACCATTTCAGATATAATGTGAGTCAGTATGATGTATGATAATTAATATAAATAAAATTATATAAAAGTTTTCAAGAAATTTTGTTTTTTATTTCAAGTATGACTGGTCAGTGCCTTTATTAAATTTATGATAAGTCGTATTCAACTACAAAATTTTGAAGACCCCCCACTCTCGCTATGCAATGAAAATGTCCAGGAACACCAAATATAAAATAATAGAATTTACAAAAATAATAATAAAATTATGTATCCCTTGAGAAACGGGATATTGAAATGGTAATGGTTTATTTGATTGTTGAGAAAATTTTATATAAACCGAAATTACTTAACAATCTTACTATATTAGGGATAGGATTATAGTATGATACTCAAACTGGTTTTGGTACGAAATCTCGAAAATCATTTGAGCGACCGTCAACAAAATCTCGATAATCTAATATCTTGACAAGTCAAAATCCTGACAAGTCAAAATCCCGACAAAATTATAACACATTTAAACTAAATATTACATATTGCAACAAATTATTTTATTAGAACACACATCACAAAATTGTCGATATAATGTGGATTGTCAAGATTTTGTTGTCGATCTTGTGTTGTTCGTGCAAATGGCTGTCGAGATTTTGATCGGATACCTCAAACTGGAACTATATAGAATTCTGGAAGATGATCATATTGGTGCCATGTATACGTTTGAAATTCTAAAGACCCAAGGATTTAATCCTAGTTTAAAAGATTATCTTAATCATTTACATGTCATAATAATTAAGGGTGTTAGTTTTAAATAAGTGATACAAGTGTATTGAAGAGATGGCATCAAAAGATTATCAAGTGGATTATTACATTAATTCGCTTATTATTGATAGATTGATTGAAGTAAATATAGCTGGAAAAATTTTAATGGATATGATAGTGAAAGGACAAGTAACTCATGGATTAATTAATACTTCCAAATATATTAAATATATTTAAAAAACAACAGGAAAGTGATGAAACATCAGGAGATTTATCTTTATACGTTACAATTTATAGTGTACTAATTCAAACATTTATTAATCATGATCATTATATTATAACAAGGCAGTTGAATTTTATCGGAAATTTTAAAAAAATATTTTAACACCTGATATACAAATAGTTGAAATGATGATTTCCGCTTGTTTGGCTAGAAATGATAACAAGATAGCACAAGAATTTGCAAACACCAAATATAAATCATATATTTCCATACTATGAATCATTGTATCAAAAATAGAAATTTCAAAAGATTATATGAGATATCTTGGTATAAAAATAAAAATATTACATTTACAGAACGAGAATATCATGTATTGAAGATTGTGCGACGGACTCTTTTATAATTTATAAAGATGCAAGATCAAAAGGAAGATCTTTTTATATTCAATAAATTATTAAGAATTATGGTAAAATAAAAGAAGTGAAAATTATTAAAAAAAGATATGAAAATTTTAAAAATAAAACCGAATATCGAAACTGATTCAATTGGCATCAGTACAAGGAATATCTTATTGAGCAGGATTATCAATTGATTATACAACATTTTCTTCATTAATTAAATGTTTTAAATGTTTTGCAGATTCAGGAAATTTAAAGAAAGCGAAAAGGGCATTAAATATAATGTTTCAATCAGATTTTAAACCAACTATAAATGATTATAATCATTTGATAAGAGCGGCAGGAAAATCATGTTAAAAGTATTGGTATTAGTATATTACGTGATACAAATCAAGATTGATACATACAATTATTTTTTTAGAATCTTATTTGTCATCAAATTATTTATCAGTTGAAACATTTCACGTATTTATTTTTTAAATATTGGTGTAAAATAAGAGATACTTTTGAATTATTTTATGATCAATTAGAATATAATAAATTAGAACCATCAATTTATACATTGGAATTCAATTTATACATGGGAATTTATTAATTAACAAAGCCATCGAATCAAAAAGTTCAAAAATCATAAGAAAAATTTATATTGAATTATATAATAGGGGAATTAAATTAAATAATACTTTATCATATATAAAATTAGTTTACATTTTAGGGATATGAAAAGGAATATAATAAAGTTGAAGATATAATAGATCATACAGTAACTATAAGGATTGCAACTTTTGATTCCAAAAAAAAAAAAGCATTGTAAATTGTTAGTACCAATTATTATTGTGAAAATGAAAAATTGCTTTATTATACCAACATTGGGCTAATAAAATCATAAACGTAGTTTATATCATAAATGTAGTATACAGTATATTTCAAATCATAAACGTAGTTCATAAATGTAGTTTATACTGATAAATGTAGTATTATATATTTATATCGTCATTTGATCATTTAATGAATAAATACTATATTTCAAATCAGGCAAAAATATTTTCGATAGTTTTAGGTGTAGGTAAAAAAAAATTTTTTTTTATAAATGTTGTTATAAATATATGATATTGTATATTGTTTTTAAAGGGTATATACATATACGCTATTGTATATTGTATATACATATACGCTACTGTATATTGTTTTTAAAGAGCATATACATATACGCTATTGTACATGATACACGTTATTGTATATTTTTAAAATCTATCTCAATATTAAACACGAATTCTATATTAAACACCAATCTATATCAAACACCTATCTATATTAAAACACCAATCTATATTAACACCAATCTATATCAAACACCTACCTATATTAAACACCAATCTATATTAAACACCATCTATATTAAACACCAATCTATATTAAACGCCTATCTATGTTAAACACCAATCTATGTTAAACACCTATCTATATTAAACACCTATCCACATTAAACGCCTATCTATATTAAACACGAAATCAAACCTATCTATCTATCTATATTAAACACATGTCTATGCTAAACACCTATCTGTGTTAACCACCTGTATATGTTAACCACCTGTCTATGTTAAAACACCTGTCTATATTAAACACCTATCGTGACCCTATCTACAGAGTGACCCTAGGAGAGACCCTTGTTTATATAATTTTACTTAGATAATTTGAACCTTACTCAGATGATGAACCTGATGAACCTTAAGTCTTAAGATAATGCACCTTACTTAATGAACTTTTGAACTTTCAATAATAAAAAAAAAAAAGTGGCTAAAAATAATAAATGAAAATAATAAATGAAAATAATAAATGAAAATAAATGAAAATAAATAATAATAATAATAACAATAAATAATTTTTAATATAAATAATTACATCATTAAGATTATGAAAATTATGAAAGACTTGTTAAAATTATTAAAATCAAATCTAATATAAATTCGGATAATACTATGATTAAGTAAACCAAAGTATAGTATATCGCAATAAATTTAAGTGATCGACGACTCTTATTGCATTATTATAGTATCGGAGAATTAAAATTTTAAAAATTTGGAGAAATTAAAAAAATTTAATATTATCAAATGTATATATTATATTTTGGTTAAGTGTGATTTTTTTTTTTCGTTAATTTTTAAGGAAAAAAAAAAATTTTTAAATGTTCAATAAACAAAACTTTTCTTTTTTTAAAAAAAAGCACGAAATATCAATTAAACAACAAACAAATAAATTTAATACAATACTGTTTCATTATCACATTTTCTTTTCGTAAATTAAACAAAAAGCCAACTTACCAAAATTAAATTAATAAATTCGGTTTATTTTAATTGGCGATAAAAAAAAAATTCCACAGTTAAAATTAAAATAAATTATTTTAAAAAAGGCGCTATTTAATAAACGCCGAATACAAGAATTTAAAGTTCGATTTAAGCATTAACAGATTGAGAAAAAAAACTCGGAGAAAAAAAAAAATAAGCCATAAAATTGTTTGACCGTCTAAAAGAACCAATCTAATTAAAAAAAACATTTAATTTTATATAACCACGAGACATGACTTAATTGTACTTTTTTTAAATATTTAATATAACCTTATCAAGAAAATAAACCAGATTCTTTTATGTTTACGATTTTGTCATTCATTATGAATAATGTATAATAATGATGTATGTAATATTGTATGTAATTTATAGAGCATAAAAAAAAAAATATTTGTTTTAAAATTCATGAGAAATAATTTTACATTTTCACATTTTTCATAATCTTTTTTCCGATACTTGTTACATGTTATTCATTGTAATAATCATATTCTTTTGTTTTAATCTTAATTATAAATATTTATTAATGGCACGAGATTGAATTTCTTAAAATTAAACAAATAAAAAAAAGATTGTCTACGGTCTCGGATTTTATAGGGTGATTAACATCGAGAAAATTGACTTGTTTGTTGTGACACGGGAAAAAACTTTTCTCTTTCTAGGTTTTGTGGCTTGGATTAAGGGATATGAGCTCGTTATCTGTTAACTTTTTTGAAATTATTTCAAAACAAATGATTTAAAAAAAATTTCAAAAAAAAAAAAAATATATTATCAAAGAATAATTGAAATTTGAAACAAATAAAAAATTGCTTCAACAAATTGTTGCAAAAAAAAAAAATAATAATAATATATTAATAGATCAAAAAAATGTCAAATAAGTTTTTGTTTATCACTTTATAATTAATGTTTTAGAATGAATTGTTTATCCCATTCATTCTCTTTTTTCAAATTGTTTTATTTGTCATTTTTTTAACCAACCATTCTAAGAGTTTTTAATTGATTGTTTGGTTCTACAATACTTTTATTAAAAGGATCTTAATTACTATATAAAGTTAAATTTTTCACAGCCACTTTAAAAAAAAAAAAAAAAGTTTCGATGAAAAAAAAAAATATATTTTTTTTCCCTCCCAATCGATAATCTTCATCACGTGATCATGTGTATCACACGTGGTATACCGTTTATTTATCATATTTATCTGTATATTTCATGCAAAAAAAAATTCGAATGTTTATATTTAACAGAAAGAAATTTTATATTAAAATGGTAACATATCACGTAAAATGAAATATTAAATAGGTTACATTTAATTAAAATTATTGACTCCTATAAAAAAAAAAAATTATAGTTTGTAAGCATATAAATAAATAAACATACTGATATACACATATATAGCTATATACCCACATTATATATATATATATATATTCATACATACACACAATATATATATATATATATTCATATATACACACAATATATATACACTTTTTTACGTACACACACACACACACATATATATATACACTTATTACACTTATTACACATTTATGTATTTATTTATTATGTTTTAAATTCATGCGTTTAAATTCCATACTAGAAATATGGATACATAAATATTAAGTTTAAGTTACCCTTAACGACCTTACCTAATTATTTAATATTTTAAAAAGAAAAACCTATAAAGAATTCTAATATGTAATACATGAATTACTATAATTAGATAGTTAACTTAAAGGTTCCCGAGTCGCCGACTTCCCCCGTAGAAATAGGTTCTAAAGTTCACTCTTTTTATCCCCTTTTTACTTTTTATCTTTGTATTTAAAGTTAAATTAATATTTATTAATTAAAATCATTAATCAGGATTGGATCAAACTTTAAAAAAATTGAATTTACAGTTTACAAGTTTACAAGTTTATTATAATAATAATAATAAATAAAAATATCGTTGAACTAATGAAGAATGGGAAAAAAAATTTTTTTTTGCATTGCACGAGGGAATAATAATAATAATAAATAATCCGAATGTTTAATCGGGTGATAACCCGAAAGTTAACATATGTTTGGACCCCAAAATTTTAAATAACCAATTAAAATTAAGACTAAAATAACCGAAAATCAAAAAACGCCAATATTTAAACCCGATTTGTATGCAATATGAACACTTTTTTGGGTTACTGGATGAAATTTAAAAAAGCCAAAAAAAAATCTTATTGGGTAAACCTTGTAAAAGAATGAATACTTTTTTAATAACGTTTCGGTAATTAAAATTTTCTAAATATATGTGAATAGAATAAATAAAATTTTTTTTTAAAATATTTTATTCCGGAATAATTAATTACTTTGACCTGTGCCAGTAACCAAATCTTTTGATAATCTTTTTTTAAATCCCGATAAAGTTTAAATCAGTCATTGCAGACCAACTAAATTGCTGAGTTTATCGAAATTTAGATAAACTCATGATTTTTTATATGGTAATTAACCGTTTTACAAAAACCTGATTCCGAAATTTATTCATTTTGACAGTATGATCCGTG